AAGCTTTATGTTTTGCATTTCTCTTCCATGAGGCATAAAGTATCCAGGTGTAAGGACAGATATTTGGTCCAGAGTCTGTTCTCCTATGCTGGAAAAAAACAAAAAGAAAACAAAACAAAAAGAAAACAGACAAAAACAAACAAACAAACAAAAAACAAACAATATTTACAACATCTGCTAGTTGTTCATTTATTAAAAGCTGATTTTCTATTCTGTGTTCAAGTTCTCCCATGACTCCAATAAAGAAAATACCCAAAAAAAAAGTCTTGACATCAGTCAGTGTCTAAAATCATTAGACTACTACAAAATTGACTGACCTTCTCCAGTAATCTTGAGTGGATCTCAGTTCATTTGCATCATCAAATCACCAAATTATTAAGTAACTGGGAAGTAGACAGCATGTGTTTCTTCTCTTCAGTAATTGAGAGCCTGGCCACAATACACTGCATATAAACCTGCTTAAATCCTTTGCTGGTACACCTTACATATGGATATGTAGTTTAGCACCGAGGAAGGTCTGTTACAACCTGCACATACAGCATTTACAGTAAAAACTAACTATAATTATCCTTGCAAAAAATGTTAATTTAAAAAAGAAGTAAAAGTGATCTTGTTTAGCAAAGTCTGGGTTTTCAGATAAGGAATCATTTTTGGTCTCCATATGACTGTTGTGTGTGCCAAATTTAAAATGCCAAAGATGTCTAATTCATGCTGCAGAACAGTGATAGTATACAGTCATTATGGCAGTTAAATGGAAGCCATTTAAAGGGAAGAGAAAACAGAGAGTGGGATGGCATATGAAGATCGATGGAAGAATATCATCCCATGTTTTCCTATATGATGGGAACTGCACAGTTCATTTTAAACTTAGTAAACAGAAGCTGCAACTATTTACCTTATTTTCTATATCGATCATTGAAAAAGCTTATAGGCCTAATATTCTGATTTTCTTACCGATGAAGCTGCAGCTGCGTAAATAATAAAACGTACTGGAAATCTTAGAAAGCTTACTGAGATCCTCCACCTGTGAGCTGTTCTTTGAAGCAGCACCAGATCTCTTTCAATTATTATCTGCTGTCCTTGCAGCAGGATCCTGAGAGATGACCATGGAAAAGTGCTCAAGGAGGGCTGAGATGTTCTGGAAACAAACAGAAAGCCTTTTGTTGGATGTTTTGAGGAGCGTAGGCCCCTTCTCCCTTTAGGACCTATGTGTAACTGTAGCAATGAACTGGTTTGAGGCCAGGCTCTTCTCAGTGGTGTGTAGTGATAGAACAAGGAGAAACAGCCTAAACCTTGACCACAGGAAGTCCCATACAAAAGCACAGAAGGACTTCTTTATGGTAAGGTTGACAAAGCACTGGAACAGGCTGCCCAGAGAGGTCATGGAGATATTTAAGACCCATCTGGACACCTACCTATGTAACCTGTTGTAGGGTACCTGCTTTAGCGGGGGCTTGGACTCAGTGATCTCTTGAGGTCCCTTCCAACACTTGCGATTCTGTGGTATATTTGCCATAACAGGAATGTCTTCCCACTTCATAGAATATTTTCCAAATGGATTTTGGCTACTTAAATAGACACAGAGAAAAAGAAATTGTAGTTCTAAATGAAGAAGAGAGACTTGAACATTATTTATATGGACCAAACAACATCTTTCCCAGATGGCAAAAGTGCCGCAGGGTGCCCTATATTTGCACAACTCAGCATGAGGCAAGAAGAGCTGGCCACCACACTGTATGTTTTTCCACTGAAAACTGTGCTTTTCACTTGATTCTTGTTGTGTCTGGGCTAGTCTGACACTGTGCAGGAATTTGCAAGGCACTCAGCAATCTCTGTCATTGCCCCTGCCCTGATCTTTCTTGCAAATTTCCCTGCTGTTGCCAGATGGTTTTAAGCTTTCCTCTTCCATCTGGCAGTACCCACCTAAGCCATTTCTCACCTACAATGAAGAGGATCTGCCAGCCCACCAGCAGACTGAAGAGCAAAGAAAATCAAAAGGCAACCAAACTACAGAAGTAACAGAACAGTTTTAAAGTGCATGAAAGGGGAAATTATTTTGTAGGTTATCTGTTTACTGACTTGAGTTGCTTCCTAAACAAAGCAGATCTGATGTAAAAAAAGCATTTTTACGGAGGTGACACACAACTCGTGTATGAAGTGAATGGATTAAACTGTTTACATTCAACCATGGAAAATACTCCAGAAACTGATATCAGTGTCAGAAACTTTATTAGGTTTCAGAAGAGGTAGGAAAGCTTCAGCCTAATTACAAGAAAGGAGGTCTTCAGGCCTTGAGAATGTCATCTGAAGGGCATTTATATTGTTTTCTATAAAAGGAAAGGGCAAATTTCCAGTACATATATAATCACTGGTAGCATTTATGTTGTCATCCTCTCTAAAGCAGTAACAAAGTGCACAAATGGTGGATGATTAGGGAGGTCAGTGAAGTGCGCCATTCAGCTGTAATTGTAGAGTTTTTAAAAATTCTTTTGACATCAGAAAATATCATATGTTTTTTTTAACCCAGCTTTTTGCTATGATTAGTTAATTCATGCAAAATCATTGAAGAAACAGAATGGCAAATTAAAAGCAGTACACCAGGAATGTCATTCTGCAGCAGCGACAAGTAATCAGCAAAGTCGGTGCACTGTAAAATTACTCCTACCTGCTAACACTTAGCTCCAAATGCACAAGTACTCCACAACATTTGGTTTAATGTGTTCCCACCTTGTTTCCCACTGGAAAGTGCTATGGGAGAAGTGCCATCCCATGTATAATTTGGCTGATGCTGCAGTCAGTATTCTCCCTTTTCCTGATCCCTCCAGAGCACTTCACAAGACTTACTTATCTCACGTGGATTACTGGATACAATGTATTATTTAATTAGCATATTTTTTAAATTATCATAGGCTTATAAAATCTGGCAATCTTCATATTAAGGATATTGAGTGAGTCTGTTCTCTCTAATACAATTTCATAAGAAGTTGTGTTTTCCATTTCATCATTTTCCTGACTGGGACTTTCAGTTTTGAGTAATGAACTGTGACTTTCCAATTTTGACACAAATTTGCATTAGACAGTAGCCACATAGTGAAAATAAAAAGGTTATCCGCTGCTGACCCAACAAGAGTTTGGAGTAATTCAAATTACCTGGATTTGGTGAAAAATGGTTGAACGCTGCAGGTTGTTAACTATGACATGAAAGTGTGCATTCCCTTCCGTGCACATAAATTGTTCAGGGAGAAATAGGTAGTTCTACTGGTCCTCAGACAAACATTTGTAGTATCTTAAATGTTGTAACGTTTCTTCATGTTTTCACCTATTTGAGTACTATGGTCATTGGTTATTTGCTAGCCATCAGCAGCTGTTTAGGATGGAATCATGAACTCAGGGACAGTTACTATTGCCACTCTCATTTCTATTTTATTTTGTGCAACTTTTTTTTGAAAGGTCTTTACTTTCCAGCTCAGGGTATCTACGTAAGTCCAGGGTAAAAATAGATTTTAAATGTTGTTGCGCTGCCTGCTGCAAGATTTGCAAGGGAGGTTGTGAATCTTGCCACCATGCAGCACATAACACAAGCTTGTTTGCTGAGTTTTCCTCCCATGTCTATCCCCTTACTTGTAAGCTTTTTTTAATCTATATGAGGTCAGGGACAATGTCTCCTATCTACAATGTCTAATGAAGAAAAGAGAGCTGGGCATTAATGCTGTCACCTCTGAGGTCAACAGAAAAATTCACACTAGCAGCAAGAATGAGCTGTAGAATAAACTCAGATCTTTCTAAAGTCCTTCCACACACAATTCTGCGTTTCAGTTGGTGAAAATGTGTTTTTTCCTTAGCTTATGATATAATCATTACTCTACTCTGTGAGACTCTACATGTGTTGCTCGTCACAAAGGGAAACTGCAGAGCCTACAGGGAGAGCCAGGTACAGAAAGCTGCATCTGCACTGATCTCACTTGAGCTGGAGATCAGATCCAGCGTTTCAAAGCAGGAACCAAAAATAGCTGTCAGGACTTCAGTCTGTTCTGAAAGCAACACAGAAGGTAACTGCACACAGCTCTGAATAGCCAAAAGGAGCATTTTCTGGTACCTAATGAAAACAGTATCTCTTAAAATCACATGTAAGAAGTGCTTTGTATTCCTGTAGCATGCACACCATTAAGAAGCAGTTTCACTCTAACCTAGTCCATATCCTAATTATAGGCAGCACAGGAGAAAAAAGACACAGACCTGTCCCCTCTGTGTCGAATGTTATTTTTATTCTTGATATAAAAAAAGAGGAGTTCTTGCAGGATTCTCTGAGCATTAATTATAACTTCTCCCTCATACAAACACTCCCGGCAGTCTGCAGGTCCTTTTGATTCTGCTCATTTATACAATCTCCTTTCCAAAATTAATGGAAATCTACAAAACTTCTAACCATATTAAATTTTGCACAGACACTCACTTGCTCCACATTTTTGATGATTTATACTATCTACTGAGCTGCTGCTGCGATTTCCTTAGTAGATGGTCTTTGATTTGGCTCATGGTTATCACTGAATAAACATCTGAAACACAGAAGTATTTCATACACTGTTTATCAGCCACTTGCCAGTGACACAAGAAGTGCAGGTGAAAGGAAGGATGGCTTCAAGTACATTTATTTTCATGGCTGCACGTTCAAGCTGTTCACCTCATGAAAAAATAGGTGTCCTAATGCTGATAAATGTGACTGACACAGTTAAAGACAGAGTGACTTCGGAAGTTTTCTCTCTGGTTTGCAGTAGGGGTGACCTCATCTACTGGTAATTATCATGCAGCTGTTTCCTCAGATCTTTACTTTTTTACTCCATTCCTTTGCAGGTTGATGGAACAGACATCACAAGTTTTTATTTCATGTTACCCACTGAATATTCTACACATCCTCAAGCTACTGAGAGTAGATTAACTGCCTCTGTGGTATGACTACAGATAAAACCTAAATCCAAATATCTCACTCTTTATTTTTGTAGCCGGACCCTGCAGGCAGAGACATCTCCATCCGACCCATCTTGGAGCACTGCGAGAACACTCACATGACAATTTGGCTTGGGATTGTCTACGCATATAAAGGGCTCCTGATGGTAAGCACAGTTTACTCTGCAAAAGCTGCTTTCAAGCTTCTTGCTGATAGGCTTGAACTGAATTCTATTTGTTTTTCTGAGGCTGGGAGTGAGTTAAAGCTTTTTTTAAATACATCTTTCATAAAGTTTAAGTGGTTATATGTGGGTATAAGAATATATAAATGTATAAAATAAATAGAACACTAATAGTACTAGAGCTGAAAACTAGAGATATTCTGCCAACCAAGAAATTTAATAGTGAAAAGATAGGTCTATTAACAAGACAACTTTATAAACTCAGACTGCTGAGGTTCTCTGAAAGGGTGGGGTTACCTTATTCTAAATGTTTGACTCCACATTGGAAATGTCCATCAGGAATAGCTGCAAGAGATGCTGAATGGGGCTCTGAGCACCCTGATCAATCTGTAGGTGTTCCTGTTCATTGCAGGGGGGTTGGACTAGATGATTTTTAAGGGTCCCTTGCAACTCAAATGATTCTATGATCCTATGATTCAATGCAAGATGAGTTTTGGAGCCTGAATCAAAATCATCCCTTTTTTCATTGTGGCTCTTCTACATAAAATATTTTGTTAAAGGAATGAAATTCAGGAAGTAGCAATATGAAACCTTGATAGTTTAGATAAAAAAAGAAAAAATGACCATTGGTGATTAAAAGATCCTCATACCCTAAGCCTCAAGGTTCGAAAAATATCTGATTTTTGACAGTACTGACCAGATGAACACCTACCTTGAGCTAAGCCCCATCTGGATTCTAAAACCAGATAAACATTTGCTTACACTGCCTGAGGGGTTCAATCTGTTCTGTGCATTTGTAGCATGCCTGTTCAGAGGGACACCCGTCAAAGACTGGGTCAGTTGCTCCCATTTGGCGTGGCAGGTGCTGCTGCTGTGGGGAAGCTGGGTAGGGTGAGATGCTGGTGCCTGGAGAATGTCTTCTGCTGTACAGAGAATGGCTGCTACCAGCCTGCAGAGTCCTGCTTGTTTTCACTCTGCTTTTAGCAGGCTAGAAGATCTTTAGGTATGCAGTACAAAGCTCAATAGGAAGGGATGAGAGTTTTTTATTTATTCTATACACTCAGCTGCTTTGTGGTGCAGAGAAGGGAGTTGCACTGAACCTCTCCACCTCCTGACTGCCATCTCTGACCACAAGGAATCCTTCCCACCTTCCCAATAGACAATTATTTTCAGAAGAATGTCCAAGAAGGCTGTGAGACCAAGAGCGAGAACATACTTAATCACACCATGGAGATCAGGATTTAGGAGAGATTCTGCATCTTAGCATTTATTACTGAGTAGCTCAAGTGGCTCTGGGTTAACTGACCCATGTCAATGAAAGGCACATGTCTAGGCCTTTCAGTTCTGAGGACAAGCACTGCGAAATGCAGTCAGACAGTAAAACAGCTAGCGAATATGTGACCTTTAATACAGTTGTTGACAAGGCATTTGACTTTATTGTCTCTTTCCTAACTTATTTCTTGTTTGTTGTTCTGATACATTTATCAGTAGATTCCTACTCTTCAGTTAAGAGTGTTTTTTCCTTTGAATACAAGAATTTTTCTAGACAATACATTAAAAGGAAATTACAGGTTTACTATATTTTTATTACTTTCCAATCTCATTGTATAGAGATTTTGAACAGCTCATTTCACGTTCTCCCATGTAGAAGCTGTCACTGTTCACCATATAAAGGCTTAAGACATTTTTCTCTGTGATTCTGTTCAAAAAGTAACATGAAAGTATGTTTGGTTCATTTAGTGCAATGTAAATAAACAAATTAAATTCAAATCCTTAAAAAAATACTGAAGGATTTTAAAAAATTATTTCCTTTGCAAAAATAACTTCTATAATACTTTCAATGTTAGTAAGAAAACAGGTTAAATAACATTAAATTAAAAAAAAAAAAAAAAATCCCAGGTAATGGTAATGTTGTTTGAATTGTTTCCTTTTTATTTCTGTTGTTCTGGACAGCAGTTGAGCTACTTTGGCTTTCATTAATTCATTGCTGTAGATTGGTTTGTTGTCAAGTACGTTGTACTGCTTTCTACAAGATGTGTGACTCAGTTTGTTTAAGTTTGCAAATGCCATTTGGCATTACTCATCATAATTATTTCAGGCACACAGTGTTTCATAACCATCAGTAAAATATATACTTTTATTGCTCCAGTGCCCCTTTATTACACAAATTTATATATACGAAAGAGACTTTGGAATCAGTCAAATAATTGCTGCAGTGTCTTACTCTCCTGGAGCACATACACCTGTGTGAAATGAGGACAACAGGACTGATGTTTTTAATCTCATCACCAAACTTGTTTCAGATTTCTGTCCCCCAGGCACAGGTTGTCTTTCAAACAACAAAAAAAATCCTGGACTCTCTTGTGTCACTGTATCATTTTATACCAGTTTATCTAATGAGAAACTCTGCAGTTTGTAACAATTATTATCGTTATTATTACTACTATAATTCACATCCTGTATGCTAAGAGCTAATATTGGTAACTACAGTACAATATTTAAGGCAAAATGTCTTAGTGATTTACTTGAGCCAACATTGTGCACAGTGGCTTTTTGTGTCTAACTGAGAATACAAAAATTGGGTTAGCTTAAAAAGTACTTCTCCTCTGTGGTTTAAACTCATAGATCAATACCGTCCAGTCTCATGACTTAAGTGTGCTGATGCAGTGAATTAATCATTTAGGTTAGGGCAGAGCATGGAAGGGCAGATGGGGCAGGGAAGGAAGCCATTTATTGCCAGGACATACAAGCTTCTTCTGTATTAAAGTAAGAAAACATTTAAACAAAGCAAACCTTTACATTCAGATTCATAGTTCTTCTTTCCTTTGAAGTGATATGAGGAAATGCATCTTAACTACATGAAGGCTTTTCAATCACTTTTCAAATTCCTCAGGACTGATGATAACGGACTGATGATGGAGGACTGTTGACCAGAGGACAACAGGAAGATTGCTATGCTGAGTCTTGCCTTTGTACCTCACATTTGTCTTCTTAGTGACTTTGGCCAAGTCCCATCATACATATTGGATTTTGTCTTTTCCCATCTGAGGTTTCAGTTCCTTTATATTTATATTTATATTTATATTTATATAGGCTACGTACAGGTGTAAGGCCACTCTGTGTATATACATACCGGCCATCTGTTCTGATATCACAGAATCACAGAATTGTAGGGGTTGGAAGGGACCTCCAGAGATCATCGAGTCCAACCCCCCTGCCAAAGCAGGTTCCCTACACCAGGTAGCACAGGTAGGCATCCAGGCAGGTCTTGAACATCTCCAGAGAAGGAGACTCCACCACCTCCCTGGGCAGCCTGTTCCAGTGCTCCGTCACCTCACTGTAAAGAAGTTCTTGCGCACGTTTGTGCGGAACTTCCTATGCTGCAGTTTCCAGCCGTTTCCCCTTGTCCTGTCTCCACTCACCACTGAAAAGAGTCCGGCCTCGCCATTCTGCCCCACACACCTTAGATATTTATAGACCTGGATCAGGTCCCCTCTCAGTCTCCTTTTCTCAAGGCTGAACAGACCCAGTTCACTCAGCCTTTCTTCACAGGGGAGATGCTCCAGGCCCTTCACCATCTTCGTGGCCCTCCGCTGGACTCTTTCCAAGAGATCCCTGTCTTTTTTGTACTGGGGAGCCCAGAACTGGACGCAGTACTCCAGATGAGGTCTTACCAGGGCAGAGTAGAGGGGGAGGATCACCTCCTTTGACCTGCTGGCCACGCTCTTTTTAATGCACCCCAGTAAGCCATTGGCCTTTTTGACCACAAGGGCACACTGCTGGCTCATGGCCAACCTGTCATCCACCAGGACACCCAGGTCCCTTTCCGCAGAGCTCCCCTCCAGCAGGTCATCCCCCAACCTGTACTGGTGCATGGAATTATTCCTCCCCAATATTTTGATATGTCTAATTTTGATTTCTGACAGTGTCAGTGAAGTCGAACAGTACCTTTATTTTGTATATTCCAAAGATGGGTAGAAATCATATCATTGTAAACTTACCAGTGCTGCATTATTAGCATCTTTTTGAGCAGTGTGAGCATTTTTTCCAGAAAGCAATCCCAGATTAAGGATGGACTGGACTCCTTTGCCCCTTTGTCTATTAACCACAGTGGACTTGTCTACAGTTTGATTCCCCTTTTCCTCCTAAGGCATTTAGTTAACATTATACTCAAATTGTTTATGTGCTGGAAGTTTCTTTCATTCTGTTGCTGATGTAAGATCATTATTATGTACTATTTAGTTACTGAGAAACAGGCTTTCAAGGTCAAGGTATATTTTCTACTTGGCTGTTGTTGTGTATGTCAAATCCTACTTTCACCATGTAATCATTAATAGAATTTGGGGTTTTTTTTAAGCTATAACTCCTATTACTGACCACTTCTGATACATAATTTTTACAGTGATGTCCTTAGTTGACCTTGCTAAGGACAAAAACATCATGACGGTGAAAAGAAAAATTGATACACCAACAAGGCTGATAAGAAAAAAAAATGTCAAATTCCTTCTCATTATTTGTATTGCAGCATTTTGTTTCATACATTGACAGTATTTTAGCATCCAAAGCATACGTTACTATATGGTTTTGTAGGATGATTTTTTCCATCCTATGTCCATAAGGAAATTTAAAATGTTTTATTAAAATACTAGAGATATTGCAGTAAGGGACTAAGTACCCTTACATGTCTTTTAGCATCACTTTTATAGGATAGAAATATATCTTAGCTGTAACACATGTTTTTGTCAGAGATGTTTGACCATTTTACAGTACTGTGGTTATCTGTGGTGATCTTTTGCCACAGACAGTATAAAGCTATCCTAAATGGATTCTTACTCACAGATGTTACTGTAAAGTGTTTCATTACTAAGCAGAGTTTACATGTAAGGAAGTCAAATGCTGTAGAGAAAGAAGGTAAAAGATGTTATTAACTGATTTGAAAGGCTGAAGCATAAAGACACAATTTTTCTGTGGATGTGTGTTAGTGA